GAGTTTTGACTGCTGAGTAAACTCCCCACGGGACTGGAATTAAAAACGATAGTTTGAACTGCATTTAGATACTCAAACCAAGACTGCGCCCTAGTTTTCTCTTAATTTATTCTACATTTGGACCATTTTTGGCTCTATGCGTGTCATCCGTGCACAGTGGTCATGCTAATTGCCTGTTCAGGTCCAGCTGTAACGGATGTCCCAAAGGACGTCAGGCGATGTCTTTGCGTTCCTGTGTTTACCCCTTTTTCAGGTTGTTATTTTTTTTCTTCTTTTGTGCGCGTGTGTGTGTGTGTGTGTGTTTGTTTGTGCGTGTGTGCATGTGTGCGTGTGTGCGTGTGCGTGTGTGTGTGTGTGTGCGTGGGTGTGCGTGTGTGCGTGCGTGCGTGGGGGTGGGTGAGTGCGTCTGTGTGCGTGCGTGCGTGGGGGTGGGTGAGTGCGTCTGTGTGCGTGCGTGCGTGGGGGTGGGTGAGTGCGTCTGTGTGCATGCGTGCGCGCCCACGCATGCGCGCACGCGCGCGAGAGAGAGAGAGAGAGGTGGGCGGGGCGGGGCGTGTGACAGCGCCATGTCACGCTCCATGTGACAGTGCCACGTGATGCTTAGAAGGCTTCTGTTTTCTGCTTTCGAGTTCCTATATTTTACGTAGAACGTATATATGAAGAAAAAGGGTGCAGTATGACATTGACATGAGGTTGACATTTCACGGTTGCGGTCGTGATCGTTAACAACGCACCCTCATGATGAAAGTATCGGATTGCAAAGATGGCTAGTATAGATTCACAATCAGAAGGGGCTATGTTAGGGGGAAGACAATAATACCCGCTGACCAGCGCATCCGAGCCCTCGTCCTCCTGATTAGGGGTGTCCTTGTCGCGTGAACGACGGTGAAAGGGCAGGATGCGGATTTCTCATCGTCCCTCTCAGCACATGCAGGGAGTGGCATGACCTGCATGCTTGTGGGCCTCGCTCCACTGCTCACCACATGCACCAAAGACAAAGAACACGGCGGCAATATGGGTAAGATACATTTTGCACTTGCACTTGGGGCACCCTACCTGACCATAAAGCTGGGTTGTACATTGCCCGAAATGCAATCTTTGCCCATAGTGCAATTATAACTCATTTTTGTGACTTTACTGAAGTTACCCCAAAAAGGGGTAAAAAAAAAAGGATAACTGGGATAGTCACAAAAACGAGTTATAATAGCACTACGGGGCAAGATACAGTTTTCGATTGCGCTTAGGACACCCTACCTGGCCAGAAAAATGGGTTGTATACATTGCCCGAACTGCAATTGCAAACTGTATAGTGGCCCATACTGCAGGCTGGTAGCCCAGATAAATTTCGAAGGTTAAAACCTAGAAGGAACGAGGGTAGAGTTTAAGCAGGTAGAAATTCAACGAACCACAATAATATGTTTTTGGGGAAATTGCTCCTGAGTCACCTTTTTAGTTTGAAATAGGCAAGAAAAGAGAAAGTGGCGCCTATGTCATGGTTTGAGTTTCCGAATGGGCAAGTTCAGCAGGGGGTTGAAACTCTGGCCGTTGTTTTGAAGTGGCGTGCATGCAGATTTAGAGGCGGCCTTTTTTGCAAGTTTAGCGGCAGGCAAATCGGCTCTCAGCCCTTGGCCTGTTCTCTACTGAGATTTCTTTGCCTTTGCTCCGGTGTAAACTTGGAATGGGCAAGTTTAGCGGGGGGTTGAAACTGTGGCCGTTGTTTTGAAGTGGCGTGCATGCAGATTAAGAGGCGGCCTTTTTTGCAAGTTTAGCGGTAGGCAAATCGGCTCTCAGCCCTTGGCCTGTTCTCTACTGAGATTTCTTTGCCTTTGCTCCGGTGTAAACTTGGAATGGGCAAGTTTAGCGGCAGGCAAATCGGCTCTCTGCCCCTGGCCTGTTCTCTACTGAGATTTCTTTGCTTTTGCTCCGGTGTAAACTTGGAATGGGCAAGTTTAGCGGGGGGTTGAAACTGTGGCCGTTGTTTTGAAATGGCGTGCATGCAGATTTAGAGGCGGCCTTTTTTGCAAGTTTAGCGGCAGGCAAATCGGCTCTCAGCCCCTGGCCTGTTCTCTTCTGAGATTTTTTTGCCTTTGCTTTGGTGTAAACTTGGAATGGGCAAGTTTAGCGGCAGGCAAATCGGCTCTCTGCCCCTGGCCTGTTCTCTACTGAGATTTCTTTGCCTTTGCTCCGGTGTAAACTTGGAATGGGCAAGTTTAGCGGGGGGTTGAAACCGTGGCCGTTGTTTTGAAGTGGCGTGCATGCAGATTTAGAGGCGGCCTTTTTTGCCCTGTTTCGAGAACTGCTAAAGTTGCCTTTTCCAAACGCTAGGTGTGACCCAGAAGCCGTTGCCCCTATTTTTTCAATCCCTCGCCCTTATTGCTAGAATTAGAAACTAAGGAGGAAATAAGATTAGGGATCGGCAGGCAGGATTGACCGAATGACTCCAGCAAAGGCAAAGAAATCTCAGTAGAGAAGAGGCCAGGGGCAGAAAGCCGATTTGGAAGGAAGCAACTCCTTACGATCGCCTGAAGGACAAGACTAGTAGTGTATGGGTTGGTGAAGAGCAGCAGAGAAAAAACGGTGAAAGAACGTAAAAATGGATAGAAAGCTGAAAGAACATATTTATGCGGACCACCTAGTAAGGATTATTGCTGGAACCCAGTGCTAAAAATTCTTAAAAACAAGTTAAGTAAGATAGGTAGGGCTTACCAGGGCAAAACCAACGTGGAGGGTGATCTTCTTGGTGATGATTAATCCAGAGGCCGGGGAACAGAGGTGGGCAAGAGAAAGAAAAGACAAAAATCTGAAAAAGAACTAAGTTATGCAGATAAATCAAATGAACAAGGTTTGCCTCAAGGCCACATCAAAATTATTTACCATCTAGCGGCCTAGCTCGGCAAGGCACGCAAGTGGCATTCAGAAGGTCATGGGTTCAATCCCCATTGTCCTCATGATGTACCTTCCTGAGCAAGCTTGGTGTCCGCCAACTAGAGATATGTCTTTGGTCTTCCCGAGTGGCATTGAGCAGAGACTGCTGATGTTTATAGGGGGAGGGGACCACCACCTGAGGGGAGGCACAGTGACTGGTCCATAGAAGAAGCAATGATTGGTCCTGATGCTACCGGCTGACCCCTGGCCGGTATCGCCCACCTGTTGTAGCGGGTATCGCACCTGCTGGTGGGTGGAGCTCCCGCATGCTCTCTGTTTGGAGGCTTGAGCACAGATGTGGCTGCTATGGGGCTCCCCGTAATATTACTATAATGACAATAAAAAAGCCCTGAAAGGCCGTCAGTTCGACAAGTAATTGAATTGGTTGGGCTTTAAAAAAAAAGGGAAAAAAATCTTTACCAAATTTAAAACAAAAAAATCAAATAGAAAAAGAAAATAATAATACTTCTTTTTGGCCCGGCCAGGAAAGTGATCCCGGGCCACTCTGGTAGCCTACTAGGTTTTTAATACTTTTTATTGTTTATCTCTATATTAGCTCTTCTCCCAAACCTAGATTTT